AGAGCGCTCTCCGATCCAGATCTCGGGTCCCCAGGTGCCTCCCTCGGCCCCGCCTTGTAGGTGTGACAGTTGCCGAAGTCTCCATGGGGGTTGGAACTTCCAGATCAAAGCTGGAATGGCTACCCACTACAATACTCTGCTTCTCTGACAGGGGTATAAACCATATGGCAAACTGATATGAATTTGTACTTGACATAAACTTCATATATTTTCATTAATGTAGAGTTGCACATATATAGTATTATAGTTTTTAGAGTGTTATTAACATTGTTCATTAGTAATATTTTTAATACTTATGTAACTCATTATTATTCTATGCATGGATTTTTTTTTAGTGCATCTATTACTTACATTTTTTTCTTAAGGATGCAATAGTCAGTCGTAAGTGTACAATCCATAACAAAAGCTAGAAAATAGAAAATAAGTTACAAATAAACACATACATTTCTAGTCTTTCATGAGCCCATCTTCCTCCCTCCAACATTATTTGGCTACTACCTTCAGTATTCACTTAGTTCCTTTTATACTTTTCCTATGTTTGGATGTATTTGAAAAGATAGTTTGCTTTTTGTGCTGGAGAGATGGCTCAGTGGTTAAGCGCACTGGCTGCTCTTCCAGAGGTCCTGAATTCAATTCCCAGCAACCACATGGTGGCTCCCAACCATCTGTAATGAGATCTGGCACCCTCTTCTGGCATGCAGGCAGAACACTGTACACATAATAAATAAATCTTTTTTTTTTTTTTTTAAAAAAAAGATAGTTTGCTTTATGTATTTGATAAGTTTTAGAGAACAGAATGAGGTTTTCCATGTGTTCTTCATTGTGTATGCCCTTTTATGTTTCTTTTCTTTTACCTACTCTTTGTGAATATTACTCAGCCATCATTTCTCCTATAACAGGTGTTACGGTTTCTTTCTAGACTTAACTCTGTTATGAAAATTCTTAACGATGTTTCTTGAGGTACATGTACAAGTAAAACTGTTGGGTCAGTTTCAATTCCTTTTCAAAGTGTTTATAAAAATGCACCTATCTAGAAACAATGCATGGTCTCTTAAGTGTTTATACATCATCACTAATATAAAATTGTTATCAGGCTTTTTTATGTCATGTTCAAAAGGATAGAGCCAGGATTTTAGAGGGCACTTAACACTTCATCATCTGTGCTCAGATATGATTCTTAGCATCTGAGTACATTCTTGTTTCTTCCTTTGAGAAATACTGCACATGGCTCTTATCCATTTTCAATGGACTGTTGGTATTCGTGTTAAGATTTGTACAAGTTCTGTACATGTTCTTAGAATTGTTTGCCAATACAAATGCAAAAATCTTACTTATAAAAGTGTCAATAGTTGCTTTATTTCCATTTATGTTTAAACTTTTATTACTCTGGAAAGAATTTTATAAAATGATACAGGTTTTAAAGAACAAACTGAACACTAAATGGGGCCTGATTCTATTTCTACCGTTCTTACAAGAAACCAATGCCACATCAAATAGTTTGATATCATATATGTCATTTACCAAAGAGCTAATCAAAGAAAGATTAAAACTGGAATAACCAAATATCAATCATTTCCGATTGGCACCTCCAGCAGGAAACATGTATAGTAGCAAAATTTCCATAATTGGATCTGTAGTTTCAGAATATAGTCATTCCTATACTAACTCATACAGAGACTGTTTTGACTTTAATAAAGCATTCTTAGAAAGTAGATATTTATTTTTTAACACAGCAGAACAAAGTTCCTGTTTCTGCTTTCAAACTAATTATATCCCCTGAAGGAGAACCACCACATTCAGCAAAATTAAAAAGTAGTATTGGTGAATTTGTGCTGTTTAAACACACAAACATATAGGATAATATATACTACTTTAACTCATTATTTTAGGTCTTGTCATTTCTTTGTCTTTTGACAATTCAATCAATCATGTTATAGACTTCTCTTTACTAAGCAGTGGTTGTTCATATTTTATGCAAATATTAAGCCTTTGTTTGTGCACCTCTTCACTCTTTTCTATGCCCCCAAACCCTTTTTCCATCTACATGTATAATGTGGGTTTCATACTTAACTAGATGTTAACATAACTTATAAGCTTATAAATTAAATATTGTATCCTAATTTGTTAAAGTAAGGGCTTGAAGGTTCTCATTATTTTATTTTTCTGTTTAACTGCAATAACATAATATCTATTCTCTTTCTTGAAAATTATCCTGCAAATGTAGCTAGAGTTTTCCTGCCTGGCCCACAGTCAGGACAAATCTCTCTCACCTGCCAGTCCCACAGCCACTCAGACCCGACCAAGTAAACACAGAGACTTATATTGGTTACAAGCTGTATGGCCGTGGCAGGCTTCTTGCTAACTGTTCTTACAGCTTAAATTAATCCATTTCTATAAATCTATACCTTGCCACATGGCTCGTGGCTTACCAGCATCTTCACATGCTGTTTGTCATCTTGGCGGCTGGCAGTGTCTCTCTGATTCTGTCTTCCACTTCCCAGCTTTATTCTCCTCCTTGTCCCGCCTATACTTCCTGCCTAGCCAATGGCCAATCAGTGTTTTATTTATTGACCAATCAGCAACACGTTTGCCATACAGACCATCCCACAGCAAGTAAAAGTCAGTTACTGCTTTTTAAAAATTAATTATTCAAGGGGTCCTGTTTTCCGGGTAGCCTCCCTGGTGATGTGAGTAGCAGACAATTCATCCTTGTTTCATGTCTAGTATCCTGCTATGAGTGAGTACATACCATGTTTGTCTTTCTGAGTCTGGGTTACCTCACTCAGGATGATTTTTTCTAGATCCATCCATTTGTCTGCAAACCTCATGATGCCATTGTTTTTTTCTGCTGAGTAGTGTTCCATTGTGTATATGTACCACATTTTGTTTATCCATTCTTCAGTTGAAGGGCATCTGGGTTGTTTCCATGTTCTGGCTATTACAAACAATGCTGATATGAACATAGCTGAACAAGTGCTCTTATGGTGTGGTTGAGCATTTCTTGGGTATATGCCCAAGAGTGGTATAGCTGGATCTTGGGGGAGATTGATTCCCAATTTTCTAAGAAAGCGCCATATTGATTTCCAAAGTGGTTGTACAAGCTTGCATTCCCACCAGCAGTGGAGGAGAGTTCCCCTAGCTCCACATCCTCTCCAGCATAAGGTGTCTTCAGTGTTTTTGATCTTAGCCATTCTGACAGGCGTAAGGTGGTATCTCAGAGTTGTTTTGATTTGCATTTCCCTGATGATTAGGGATGATGAGCAATTCCTTAAATGTCTTTCGGCCATTTGAGTTTCCCAAGAAAGACACAGGGATCGCCCAATGACAGAGAAATGGAATGAGATCTACATGAACAGTCTGGACATGAGTGGGGGTAATGAAAGGCGAGGGTCGAGGGAAAGAGAGCTTGGGGGAGCGGGAGATCCCAGCTGGATCAACAACAGAGAGGGAGAACAAGGAATAGGAGACCATGGTAAATGAAGACCACATGAGAACAGGAAGAAGCAAAGTGCTAGAGAGGCCCACAGAAATCCACAAAGATACCCACACAACAGACTGCCGGCAATGGTCGAGAGACAGCCCGAACTGACCTACTCTGGTGATGGGATGGCCAAACACCCTAATTGTTGTGCTAGAAACCTCATCCAACTACTGAGGGACCTGGATGCAGAGATCCATGACTAGGCCCTGGGTGGATCTCTGGGAGTCCAATTAACGAGAATGAGGAGGGTTTATATGAGCGAGAATTGTTGAGACCAAGGTTGGATAAAGCACAGGGACAAATAGCCAAATGAATGGAAACACATGAACTATGAACCAATGGCTGAGGGGTCCACACTGGATCAGGCCCTCCGAATGGGTGAGACAGTTGATTGGCTTGATCTGTTTGGGAGGCATCCAGGCAGTGGGACCAGATCTTGTGCTCATTGCATGAGTTGGCTGTTTGAAACCTGGGGCCTATGCAGGATTGTTTGGCTCGGCCTGGGAGGAGGGGACTAGACCTACCTGGACTGAGTCTACCAGGTTGACCTCAGTCTGTGGGGAAGGCTTTGCCCTGGAGGAGATGGGAATGGGGGGGGGGGAGCGTTGGGGGGAAGGTGAGGGGGACGGGAGGGGGGAGAACAAGGGAATCCGTGACCGATATGTAGAACTGAATTGTATTGCAAAATAAACTAAAATAAATTAAAAAACAAAAAAACAAAAAAACAAAAAAAAAAAAATTAATTATTCAAAAAACAAACAAACAAGATCTCATCATGTCATCCCTGGAGGCAATTTCCCTGCTTTTGTGTCCCCAATTTCCATCCCTTTGTGCTGGGATGCATGCAGGTACCACTATGATCGGTTTGCTTTATTTTATCTGAAAATAATATGAATCTCTACAGGATATCTCCCATGAAAATTCTTAGAATATAGTAAGTACTTGTTGAATATTTAAATAGCTCTGTTTTTTTAAATCAAAGTTATATTTATTTTTCTGTATTCTAACATAGGCATGGATTATATTTTTTTTCAATTCAACATTAAGATGCTTATGAAATTTTTTATCACATTTTCCTCTGTTGTCTTCAATTACATAATTAACCTCTGTTGATAGGAAGGGTCTGAGCCTTGGTTAGTGGAGTCCCATTCCATGACTGGAGTGACCTATGTTCATGTGGGTATAAAAATTTATGATGTACACAGGCTGTAAAGACCTTCAGTTATTATACTTTATTATTTTAACCCTTGAATGTGTTAAATCAGATAAAAAGTTAGGTTTTTTAAAAATTGCTATATGTTTAAGTATACTGATGGAGCCCTTACACGTTTGGGGAGGGGGGCTGGAACTATTTTTTCAGGAACAGCATTTCAAGAGCTTAGTATCAGTTCCATGCCAATTTTCATTGTAAACACTCTGCCAGAATTAGTTCTCTTTCGTCTCATTGTACATTTCTCTGTTCTCTTCTAACAATAACACAATGATAACTCACTTCCGGCTGTCTTTAACTCCTCTTTAGATGTGCTGCCTCTGCCTCCTTGCTGAACAAACTTCAGTTCCAAGGGAACCTAAATACATCAGATCAGTGAATCGCACTTTAAAGACATTGTAATATGTGACTTCAGAAAGCCGTTCAGAAAACTGAAGTCATAGAAGAACTGGCAGGTGGTTAAGGAGTTTAGCTTTGAGGAACAGTCATTGGTTAAGAGAGGATGCAACTATGGGGGGAATATGGCAGTTATTATTTAGCTAGCTACTTCTATGTAAAATTGGAAAATATAAGAAGTACTAAGCATCTCTATTGACTGTCTAAGAATGAGTAAACATATAGCTTTAAATAAGAAAGTCTTGTTTATCAGGAGAGAACATAAATACAAATTCTGTTTTGCTTAAAAAATCTTTATTGGGTTGAAATGGTAAAATATTATCTTCATTCAAAGTTTCCACAGCACTGTATTCAACCTGTGTGTTTAGAACCTAACATTATTCTGATAAGAGGATTCCATTAAATTAAATTATGTTTTTGATTTTGGCTTTCTTTGTCTTTATTACAATTTCATTAATGACTGTGATGAAAACCAATGAAGGGTACAGGTATCAGGTATCTTAAATCTGGGAGCCAATGACAAGAAAACAACCAAAAAATCAAGAGTGAAAGTGAATTGGTAACCTCTTCTTTCTTGTTAAAATTCAACAACAATCCTAAAAGCTGTCTTTTGGCTATAGATACCTACAAAGAGAGGAGTATCTTGGCAACTCTATCACTGGAGGAGACATCTGTGTTTACTTTGGTCTATGGTGTGATATAGTTATAACATAGTTAACATAGTCTTAAATTGTTTCAAACGAAATAGATTCAGATTTACATGAAGTAATAGCCACATAGAATATGTTACTATTCTGACCACGTCAGAATTCTTTTGTTACATCATTGACCATATTTAGGTGCTTATATTTCAAAATAAATCTGTGCAGAGGAAGCTAGCAAATGCTGTATGAATATCAGCATATATGTCCTATATATCCAATATGGCAGCATTGAGGAGACTCAATGTTATCAAGAATAGGATTAATGTACAAATAAAATATGACCAGAGCTCATGTTCTAAAAAAAATGGTTTTTTGTTTTTGTTTTTGTTTTTTTGGTATATAGAGTTTTAGTAACACAGACTTAAACATAAAGAATGGTTTATTAAATTTTTTTTTCAAAGGTGTTTGATAATTTTAAATAGTTTACTAACACTCCTTTAGTCCCCCCCACCCCAGCCACAGACCAAGCAAACAAAAACCACTGTAAGGAGAAGTGCTGATTACAGAGAAAATATGAGTGTTCTATGCCCTCTCCCAAAGGAAGAATCCAGCCGCCAATTTAAGACGCCATTTGTAGAGGAAGCCTCTATATCCTGCACTTCAGGCTTAAAAAGGCCTTCAAACCTATGAAATCCATCTTAAAAATAAATGTATATTTGCGTTTATTCTAACCCTGGTCTATGGCATCATCATTTGTCCAATTCTGCCTGTGTCTTTCTTGCTACTCATTAAGTTCTGACTCTTGTTTCTCATTTTCTTCCTGCTTCATTTCACCCATCCACATAAACATATAGCTAGAGAAAAACTTAAAAGTTCTAAACCAGATTACACCAGGTCTATTCCTATTTCATTAAATTATAGCTAAGCTGACTTTCATTTTATGCCCATGTAATGCTAGGTCCTTATTCTACAGCCTGGAGTAATTCTCCCCAGTCTTTTGTCTTAATGCCTTCCTGATCTGCTGTAAGTAGAAAAACGCCTTTTGCAAACTACATTTCTCCAATTACCAAGCCTACATTACATCATTCTATATAATTTTTAAATTAATTTATTTTTCTAATTTGTAGATGATAATTTTAATATATCTCCCACAATACAATCTAATATCAAAGTCAGAGATATTGGTCACTTTGTTTATTTTTTAATCAAATGTAATTTATTTTCTAAAAGTAACTGAATAAGAAATCATTTCTTCATAATTGTAAAGTCGCCCTGGTGACACCATTACAGGTAAACTAATATATTTATGAAACAAAAATACACAAGTATTGATTCTTCAAGTCATTATAAGTAGTCGATGTGACATGGTCTTTTAAAAAACAGTTGCAGTGTGTAAAGAGGCAGGTGTTTATAATTCACACTGTAACAAGTTGCCAAGGTATCGATGGAGTATTTCAGCACTTTAATAATTGTATAGATTCTCAGCAAGCAGCACATGGGGACATAGTGAGATGTATCATTGTGACATTACTTTAGTCTAGAAGCTAAGCTGAATAGTACATACTGACAAGGTGCTTTAAAAGGACATTATTTCAGAAGGATGGAAGACTAAACCTGCCTAAATATTAATAAATATGCCACTAACTGTACAAAGTCATGTTTGAAACCTTGTCTTTACAAATTTACAAGCTGAACAATGTACAAATTAATAACTCAATAGAGAAATTTACCTAACGCACCATGTCAAGGCTAAAATTATACTGAAAAATTATACTGTGGATGGTTGTTTAGACTTATCAAAGACAAAAAGACCTTTGCATATCATTTTACCAAATATGGTGGGTGTTATGATTAATGTTGCAATGTCCCAGTGCAATGATGCATGTTTTCTTATAAGTTCTCACAGTCCTCATGTTAGCAGAAACTTTAAATCCATAAAACTACTACATTAGCTTCCCTGTATTATAAAATAGGAAACAAAAATTCAATAAGCAAAATATAGTTATGTTATAGTTTGGTCAAAAACACGTGGCAGGGACAAAATAAGTACAAATTTTTGTCATTATGCCTCTGGTCACCTTCTAATGTACAGAAAGCATTGGGGGGAAAGTCTAGGACATATTCAAATTTGAATAATGGTTACCTGGGAAACTCCATTTTCCATTATAGGATCAGGTTTTTTTTTTTTTTTTTTTTTTTTTTTTTTTTTTTTTTTTTTAGCAAGCTTAGGAAAATGGGATCTTAAAGATTCCCTAGATAGAGTCATTGGCAGGCAGGTTTGCCTCAAACTTATGTCCCTGAGCTGAGTTTGGCCTTGAACTCTTGGTGCTCCTGTCTATATCTCCCATGTGTTGTAGTTATAGGCATGTATCATACCATACAGTCCTCACTTGTAGTGAAAGACCCTAGCCCTTCAGGCTTATACCCCCAAGCCCCAGGAAATAAGGAACTAAAAAGAAAACTAGTTCCAAAGCCACCTGACTCAGCCATTATTCAACCTGTAACAATGTAACAATGTAAAAAGATTTCTGTTAAGAGATGTGCTCAACTGTGACTGGGATAGTTGCAAGTGTTCCAGGAAGGACCACTGTGACCTTTGTGTAAACTGCACTCCTGCCCTGATACCCCCCTTGAGGTTTCAGGAAGAATGTACCTGTTGATGTGACTGTACCCACTCTGTGATCAGACCATGATCTTGTGAAACAAAATTGTATGGGAATTGTAATCTTAGGACTTTTGTGGGGTTTTCCTTTAAAAGCCCCCATGGGGCTGCAGTAAGATGCGGCTCTTGCTCTTAGGAACAGAGTTTGCCCGTCTGTACAGTCACTTCAATAAAAACCTCGTGCTGTTGCATCAACTGGACTGGAGTCTGGGTTCTTGGGCTGTCCACTTGAGATCCTAAACCTTTGGGGTTCAACAGTAGCTGAAGTTTTCCTGTGTCCCACCCAGTCCACAGCTGCTCAGACCCAAGTAAACACACAGTGGCTTATAGTAATTAAAACTTCTCTGCCTTTAGCTCAGGCTTACTATTCACTAGCTCTTGCACTTAAACAGCCCATTTCTGTTAATCTATATGTCACCATATGTTCAGTGACTTTACCTGTGGGCCATTACATGCTGCTGACATAATGACATAAGGCGTCTCCTGACTCAGCCTTCCCCTTCCCAGAATTCTCCTTGTCTGCTTATCCCACCTACACTTCCTGCCTGGCTATTGGTCAATCAGAATTTTATTAACCAGTGTACAAAGGCATTATCCCACAACACTCACTTGTTTCTTTCTGACACCCTGGTTGTGTTAGACACAAGACTCTGAATTCTGGTGTGAACTTGTATGTGTGCCAGCATTGTGCATACAATAAGACCTGGATGTATGGAGCTACTGCAATGATCAAGGTATAAACACTCTCACTATGTCCAAACCACAGTTACTGACTTGATCCCAGTGAAAGTGGAGTTAGGACTGTGGAAGAGGTAATGAACACTCAGCTCTCAAGCCAGGGTAAAAAACATCTCTCTGACCCAGGGCCACTGACATTTGTTCTGGCAGCACCTCAGGTTAAGCAGAGAGAGGAAGACTCTATCAGGGTGCTTATACTTGGCCATCATTTCCATAGGCTTCTATAATATTTGATTTAATTAGGAATTTCACGTATCTCTCTACTTCTAATTTACAAGACAACTGGAACTTTTGAAGTTTACTAAGATGAAATGGTTTTCAATACAAAGTACATTTCCTTTATTTTTTTTGCCCTGAAGAAATGAAACTGATTTAACTGTAATGAAACCCTAAGACAGTTTAAGACAAAATGCACAGAATGATCGGAAACTGTAACAGTGTCCTCTGTGGACTAAAGTGACGAGAGTTTAAAACATTATGGAATGTGCCAATGCACATCTTGTTTCAAATATATGTACCATAGCTTGATTATTTCCCCAAGAGATAAATATACTATGAAATAGTATGTTCTATTAATTTATGAGGCCTAGAATATGAATGTCATTATTATCAATATATTCCTTTAAAAATAAATATAGTCTTCTAATGATGAGGTTAAAAATAAATAAATAAACTTACAGTGGTTATTTTTCTTTTATGAAATACAGTAGGTGAACTGAGGTTTAAAAATTATTTGGACCAATGTTTTCAGTTAGTATTTGAAATTCTTGATTAGCAGAAATTATTAACTTCAGAGCAAAATAACCATCCTATGTGTGGCATTTGGAATGCAGGTTAAAATGCTAGTCAAAGAGTTCTGGTACCAGTTTTGGTTTTGATGTGTCAGGGTGGGAGTTTAATGCATTCAAGTGTTATTCCTAACTCAAAGCCTCTCAAATTTTTGAATCATGGTATTTACTGAAAAATCCTTTCTTGCAGTTAGTTTAAACATTTGCATATATAAATAAAGATTTTAAGCTCTTGTTCTTTGCAGTGCTCCAGCTTTATAATGTTTGAATTTATAGAAACATATAAACCACATGTGGAAACTATATTATATAATGCAGACTTAGTTTAAAGATAAGGTTGCCATGCAAATCACTGCCTTCTTAAGGACCAATTAGTATAAAGCAAAGAGCCCTAGTCTTATGCTGGATTTTTACCTCCTCAAAGCCCATGTTCAATGTTAAGCCCTAACTCTCTGTGATGCTATATTTAGACATAATAAAAATGAAAAAATATCATGTCAGGTAGTGTAAGAGGTGAACCCTAAGCCCCATTGGTGATGTTATTAAAGAGAAATGTAATGGAGGACCGCAAGGAAATATTTTCATTT